AATTACTTTTTTTTTTTGGACTTGCCCTTATAATATCTCAGTATAAATCGTCAACGAGCTCATCCATTGTTCTGTATTCACACATGGGAATCTGTCGATGTAAGGACTTTTTAACGTGTGCGAAGGATAATACTGTACCTGTGAGACTATGATGCTCTGATTAGTCCCCAGCTCTGAATTAACAAATTCCCTTGGAACATAACAGGTTCAATTGGCAAGGAAAAAATAAATAAAGTTCCTCCATTCAGTATCACTGCCAGTGCAATGAAGGTGCACATTTACATATCAAAGGGCGCCGCGCCATGTCTAGAATTTCAAGTATGTTCTGTTGTGATGTTGAAGAGCAGCAGCACTGACATGAGAGGAACTTGGTTTGTCCTCCTTACAAATTCCGCCGTTGATACGCTTCCTTGTTGCGTCTGCAGTCACCCATAAAAAGGTGCATAACAACTGAAGCAATAATGAGACACTTTAAACATGTAATTGAATGGTATGCGACTTGTTTATGGACAATATACATGTGGGGATGTGGGTAATACTTAGCAATACAGAGCTGGCTTCATAAGTAGGTCATCTTCGAAGGAGAGGAAGAAAAAAACCTAAAATGATACATGCAGGCACAGAATGAATGGCCGTTTTTTTTTCCTTCTTGGGAAATTTCCCCTATGGCCTGCAGGTCTGATTTGATTCTCCCCAAGTCAAGCGTTGACACATTAGTACGTCTTCTCATTAACTCAGAGTTTCTCATTACCCCCTCCTGGTCCCATTTTATTCCAATTTAACCACAGCTATCCCAGACATACTTGGACCATCATGTGTCTCAGACATATTTAAAAGGCCGTGAAGCTCTGAACATTACTGTTTGCACTGTGGAATTCGCTCGATGGTTTGTCCATGCTAATCTCCCGCTTCCATTTGCGAAGTAAATGAACTGCACTTTGCCCCTGTGTTGTCATCTCTTTTCATTTAATAGGAGACTCGATATCAAAACCTTTCGATCCTCTGTCGTAGTACTCCATAAAAAGAAAAAAATAATAAAGCCATAATAAAGCACTAATACGTGCTTTATTATCCCCGGGTGTTTGTTGTGTGTTTTTAGTTTTCAAATGCTGGTGTAGAATTTGAGAGCTCTGCTCTTTATTTTGATACTGTAGAAGAAAATATCCTGGGGGGTCTTTGTGCAATCAAATATTATTGGCAGTGTTTGGTAAGCCTAAAACAATATGATGGGGAGGGTATTAAAAGGTTTGGATTTCACTCTGTTGAATTGCTACACACTGAATAAACATGTCAAATGAACTTAATTAAGTTTCATAATGAGCGAAATGTTATAAATGTGATAAATGTTGCATAAAATGATTCAGGGCAGGAATATTTTTATGACATTTAAACAGTGTTGGGGAGTAA